TTTGGGTGATTAAGGTGAACATTCAGATCAGAACCATGTGTGGTTCTGACTGTAGCTGCCTTCCCCAGAGCCACTGAAAGTTTAAAGTTTGGACATCACTGTCAAAATACTGTAGTCATTGTCTGCCAAGACTCTGGTTTTAGTTCCCATTTCTAGGATAATTTCATTTTCATGCGGAGCTGTACAGTACAGTTAGTCTGTTGTCCCTCATTTCCCAGGCATAAAGCAGATGACACAGCGTCTTCTTTTCCCACAGAGGAATAGTGTATTGAGATGCTATACTGCAGTGACTCACTTGTTTTCAAGTCTCATTTTCACATTCTTATTTCAGTAACGCTAAATCAACCTTTTAATGACACAGTGTTTTTTAATTTGGAGTTTATTATAAAACCTCTAAAAAGGAAAATACTCATGTATTATATTAATGATAAACTATAAAATAGCAATTGTGGTATCAAGTTGTTTGATTTTAGCTTTTATTTTCCCTGTCTGTTTGTTTTTAGCAATGAACAACTTCGTAGTTTTTTTGGAGGGAAAGGTGAGTTATGGGACTAGGAGAGGATAGTTCTGTTTTTTACATGTATTCAGTACATACTATTTCTGATTCATGAGAATTTAAACTAGCTCAAAATGTATAAACAGGCTCTATATAAATTGGAAGAAAAAACATTAAAGATCCTAAAATTTGGAGACAAGAGCGTTAGAGATGATGGATTCCTGGCGTTTTTGGGAAACTCAGGCATGATCCCCCAGGGGTTGTCACTCTGAGGAAACCGGATGAGGGACGTAACCCGAGACGCCAAGCATTTTATGTGTGGTTGCCCTCTTCTATGCTGTTCTGTTTCCCTGTTTATGTACTGTGTTTAGCTAAGCCCTTTTAGTTTTTTACACAGATACATATTTTAAAAATAATGATCTGTTTATACATTTTGTGGAATGAACTGATCCCTCCGTGTTCAAGATTAATTTATAAATCCCGACATTTTACATCCTTTAAAATACAACCTGATCATCTTTGGGACTTAGGGGAGTGAATCAGGCAGACAGATTTCTCAAGTGTATTTCTAGAGTACGGGTAATCACCGTTACTCCAAGCAGGCTGGCTTAAAACAGCAAAAGGATCAGGAAGTCTGAGACGAAGACCTTTCAGGATTCTAGGGAAGTAAAAAATAGACTTATCTGAAACACTAGCACTACTTTTTATAAACAAACGACTGTCATTATTTCCTGTCTTTTAATCCTTTGGAAAACTCTTGGAACTTCAGCTCTCTGTAGCTGTAGAGCTAACCATAAATGAGACTGTAAAAGAAATGAAGTTCCAAAGGCAGATGAGCATTTCCTATGAACAGCATTTTTATTGGTGGTAATTAATAGGGTATTTCTTAAGCATTTCTTGGGATCTAGGCACTGGGCTAGGCTGTGGGCATTCCTAGCTCTTTAATCCTTACAGCAGTTAGGGTGTAGATTTTCTTAAACAGCCTAACTCTGAAAGTTTAAGTAACACGTCTGACGTCACTTTGCTAAGTGGTAAGGTTGGGCCAAGAGGTTCCTCTGCTAGACTGTTGTCTCCCTGGTTAGCTGGCTGAGAGCAGGCTTATTTCTGATGGGCGGTTAGGAGAGTTTAAGGGTGGGTTGTGGGACCACATTGTGTTTTACTTAGGGTAAACTTCAGGGCAGATGTTTCAGCAATGATTATGGGAGGAGGGGAAGATACACAGGAAGAAACTAGCTGTGTCTTGATGTCCTCCCAAAGCTAATGCAGTTATAGGTAGGCCTTTTTCTGAGGTTCATCAGCTAGAGTGTGTGAAAGGGCATGTGATTATTAAACCACTACACATGAGTGATTAGTTTGGTGCCACCCTAATTCCAGATGTCTGAATGAGACAAAAGAAGCAGAAAGACACTGGGAAGGTCTCTTGCTGCTTTTGCTACACTGTGGGTGCCGTGAACTGTTTTTCCTCTGCGGTGCCCCTCCTGCTTCTTTTTTTTTTTGAGACAGGGTCTTACTATATAGTTGAGACTGACTTGGAACTCACTATGTAGCCCAGGCTGGTCTCGAACTTGCAGTGATCCTCCTGCCTCAGCCTCCCAAGTGCTGGGATTACAGGTGTGCGCCACCATGCCCGGCCCTCCTCCTTCTTGCTTTTGCTGCTTCTGCAGTGTAACAACACTGATAGGTCCCTGTTTCTATTTTTGGTCCCCAGGATCGAACTTGGGACCTTATGCTTGCAAGGCAGATGGTGGCACCACTGAGCTAAATCCCTGGCCCTAGGTTCCTATTTTTAGATGAGGAGTCCAGGATTCTCAAAAGTGGCCACTTAGGACCTGCTACAAAGCCATGTACAGTAATTAGTAAATGGCAGAAGCAAGAATTGAAGCTCATTGCCTCTGATTTTGAAGCTTTCCTTTCCCTCTTTCATTTTCACACTCCCAGAATTCCTCCTGTACTCCCTATTCTGGAATGAAGACTTTTAGGGAGGGTTATTTAACGATAAGAGGGCAAAGAATTTACAAAATTGTGCAAACTTTTATTTTTCTTCACACCCCCCCCCAGCTTTAATTGCTTTCAGATGGTTCACACCATCCTTTAGAGGAGAAATTGCCTAAGTTACTAGTCGCTTAAGATGTTTTACATATTTGATCATCCCAGCCATTGTCTAAGCCTGTCGCAGACAGGGACGTTGTGGAGTGACTGACTCTCGTGGGAGCATTTGAGACATCCTGGCACCAGTGCTTGGTCACAGAACTGACTCCCATCAGATTGGATGGAAGACTGTTTTCTCCTGGGAGAGTGGGGGAGGCAGGTAAGAAGATAAGGCCGTGTGTCTCTGACTCCGTAGAGTGGTAAGGAGGAGCTGTTGCTCTGGACTGGCGAGGCTGAGGGGTGGATTTTTACATTAAATTAAAAGCCAGGGCTCCTGGCCATATTTCTCTTGAATAGCTTCCCAGCTGGGCCCGCTACATTTCTCTTGGGACAGAGACTCATTTCACTGCTGATTCCCTGTCTCTGTGCTGGGCAGACAGGGATCGAGGAGAAACTATGAAATAGGCTGTTTATCTTTCTGTACGCAGGCAGCCTCAGTGTCCCCTTTACTTTTTGTCAGAACATTTCTTCAGGACATAGGATGATGACTATATTCACAGTAAAGTATAAATAACTAATACCACTTAAAGTTTTTTTTATTTATGAGAAGCTTGATGGGAAATAAGCTCTAAACCAAAACTGAATCATTATAATTTTAGGCAAGAGTATACAAGTGATGTGAAGGGAGTTGGAATATTTTTCCAGGTCCTCAAAATAGTATGCTTCATGGCTCTGTAACTATAATCACTGCTCTCCTAAGAACTTTTAATCTCATTTTCACATTGCCTTTTCATCTTAAAATGAAATGCTGCAAAAAGGTATTGGGTATTATGTGTTAGGCAGGTATCATGTTAGAGGGTTCACATTCATCCTGTTCATACTGTGAATGTTTATTAAGTAGCTGTGATTTTATACATTTTAAACATGGGCAAACCAAAGCTGTGGAGTAACTTTTACATGGCGGTATTGGGTAGTTGTGGAGTGCAGAAGTACTCAGACTAGTAAAAGTCTTGCAGATCCTTTCTTTCCATAAATTTGTGAAGTGGGAACGGTAGCAGATGCTTCTTCTTCCCTGGATGTAGTCCAGGTGAGTCATAAACATCTGATAAAGAAATGTAGTAGCCAGTTGTCCCGGTAGGGTTTTCCAGAGAAACAGAACCAGCAGGACATATTGGTTATGGTACACACAGACTATGCTCGAATTAGCTCATGAGATTGTAGGGCTAATAGATCTGAGATCTGTAGGGCAGCTGGAAGTTACGGTGGGAGTTGGTGTTAATAGTCCTGATCCCAACTTTTGCAAGGCATCAGTCTGGAAACTCAGACAGTGTTTTTCTCTTGCAGTCTTGAGGAAAATTTCTTCATCAGGAAAACTTACTCTTTGTTCTTTAACCTTTTACTGATTGGATATGATCCGTCCACACTGTAGAGGGTAATCTCCTGTACTGAAGTCTCCTTATTTAAATGTTAACCACATTTAAAGATGCTTTTGGAGACACATATGCTGATGTCTTACCAAAAACTTGGTAGCTTGGCCTAGTAAAGTTGACACAAAATTAATTGTGGGCTGGGATGTAGCTCAGAAGCACAGTACCTACCTACCCGGTACCAAAAAAAAAAATGAAGTAATCATTATGTCTCTTCAAATTTTCATAGACTACACTTTTGAAGGTACCTGGATTCTTCAGCTGCCAACTGTCCAGCTGGTTCCTGTGCTGTGGACATACATAGATCAGTTCAGGGGGACAGTGAACCACAGCATAAAGGATCGGCTGTTGAATGTATTGTGTTTCTGATAGTCTGTCACATTGTTTTCTGGATACAGGTACACATTTTCAGACATACTTTGCTCTATGTTATTGGAGGCTGTTAGAGTGGCTAGGAAAGCACCTGTTGAGGAAGGGGGGATTTAAAACAAAACTCAAGCAATATTCCAAGACCAGGAGGGCAGCTGGGAAGGGAGAAAGGTCAGGAGACTGGAATCCACGCAGATCACCAGAGCGCACTGTGACTAAGGTGGAGAGGATTGTGGGGCTGCCAGGCTGGAGTTGGGATTCTGAGTGAGAAGAGGGCTCTGCAGCAGGCATCATGAAAGAGAGAGTGCATTTGCTTTGTAGGCACAGTATGAACAGCTTACTGCTTATAGACAGCTGCATGTGTGATTGAAAAATACAGTATATGTTTAAGTTAAAAAATTTTGCTACAGTAAAGACACATTGGTGTTAATTCCTCTCAGGATTCTTTCCCTTCCTACGAACACACCACCCACCATCCATGCCACTTTCTGGAGCAGTTCTGGAGGTCCTCTTTCATGTCTTTAGTCCTGGCTACCTCCATGTCCTGAATAGATTCAAAACGTTTCCCTGCCATTGGTCACTTTGACTTTGGGAAGGAGCCAGGTGTTATACAGTGTCAGATCCAGTGAATAAGGTGGAAAAGAACACACTGTAATGTCTTTATTTTTCAGAAATTACCATACCAGAAGCGATGCAACCATTTGCCAATTTTTAAAGACTTTTTTACACACATTATTTCTTAAATGCTCTAAGAAGCCCTCACGATATTTGGAGTTCACCATAGTGTTTCTGGGTACAAACAGCCTGGATAATTCCAGCAAGGTCAAAAAATTGCAACTAGCATCACCTTCCTGTGGTCTTGATTAGTGCATTTTTTCCCTGTGATTTCCATTGGTCTCTTTCATCTCTCATGATGACTTTCCTTTAAAAGCTGAAATCTCGGCCGGGGATTTAGCTCAGTTGGTGCCACCATCTGCCTCACAAGCACAAGGACCCAAGTTTGATCCCCGGTACCAAAGAACAAAACAAAACAAAACAAAAACTACAGAGAAAAAGCTGGAATCTGAAATGGCATGATTGTGTAAATGTGATGAAATGCATTGTTTGGTACCCATGGTTTTCGGCACACTTTAAAACGTACCTTCTAACTCTACCTCACAGCTGACTGCCCTGAACAAACTTGTGCATACTGTTACCAGGCTTTTCATATTGAGGATCTCTGCTTTCCATTGTGGCACTCAGTAGCAGTCATCATTTGTACTTTTTATCATACCCTGTAAAAGAAGAAATATGGACATTGTTATTTTCAAGTAGAATAATATCATGAGCCTTACCTGTTACAAGGCTAAAAATAAAACAGAGTCCTGCATATTATGTCCCCAAGTGTAATTCCTGTCTGAGGGGAAAATGGACAAGATGGCTTATGCACTCTTGTTCTTTGTGTATATGAGAAAAAGCAGAAACAAAGTGCTCTTATGACTAGCATGCAGTGATGCCAGCCAGCTGGAGCTCCTGTAAGTCCAGGGCTGGACACTTGCTGCACTCGCTGCACCCTCAAGGCCACATGCTGCTGGAGGGCAATGCAGGTGTCTGGGAAGCTGGTATCCAACCATCCATGTGTTGTAAACCAGTTGGAATCACCATGCTCTGGGCAGCTTCTCAGAAAGCACCCAACATCTGGACCCTCCAGGTGAGGCTTGCCTGAGACCCACTCTTTTCCCCTGTGCTAGCTGCTGTGTACATCTGACTTCCGGCTGCCTTTTCACTCCTTGTGGTGTTACCGCACCTGCCTCTCTATCAGCAGCAGCCCTGTGTTCTCTAGCCTTCTCTTTGTCTGGCCTCTAAGTATTTCTCAAATGTACCCCATTCTTTCGGTCACTAACTGGAGGGATGCAATGCAGGTCTTGTCCCTTGTTGCTGGTCTGTTGAAATGACTGCCTTCTGGTCTTGTCTCAATCTGACGCCCTCTGACCACTCTCCACACTGTCAGTCACCAGCTGTCTATAGGGCACATTGCTTGTAGCCTCACAGCAGTCCAGTCCAAGGTCAAGCCAGGGGCCAGTATTGCGTACAAGGCCCTCTACAACCTCCCTCTCCTCTGCTTCCCAGTCTCCTTGGTGGGCATCTGCACTTTATGTTTAAGCACCTTGTGTCCTTCCCACTTATTCTGGCACGCGGGTTGGAGACTTGCCCCCCCCCCCCCCTATTGTTGGGCATCTGCCCTTTATGTTTAAGCCCCTTGTGTCCTTCCCACTTATTCTGGCCCGGGGGTTGGAGACTTGCCCCCCCCCCCGCTCTGCATATCATCAAGCAAACAGGCAAAGAAGCAAGCCAGAAAATAGATTCCCTTCTTCTTGGTCCTAAAATGACCCAAAGTAACCTTAAAATGAAAAAACGATGCCAGGGAAGGAGGGAATATAGGAGGGTGTAGCTGCTGTGGTGATCCTGTTAGGTGTGTGAGAGAGAGGGAGAGAGACACACACACACCACACACACAGCACTTTGGTCCCTGTTAGCAGAGCTTCCTGTCTGAGTCTGAAGCCACCCTGCCAGGACAGTGAATTCATTGTCTGGAGCACATTTAAAAGAACCAGGATTCTAATGGAAAAGAAAAGCAGTTACTGCCTGCCCTGTGAGTCTGAATCTCAGTCTCTGACTGGAATATAAGGTGTATTCATTTTTCCCAGCTTAAATCATTTTAACTCCATACACCCCTTAGCCATCCCTGGTGTGCTCTACATCCTCAGTCTCCAGTTTCTTTAGGGATCTGGAGTCCCTTGAGTTTTGCTAAGTCACTAAGTTGCCCAGGCTGGGTTTGAAATTGCGATCCTCCTGTCTCGGCCCGAGTACCACTTTGAATGTCTTTTTGTGCAGAGATCTCTGCCCATTTTTTGCAACTTCAGCCTTGACAGACTTAGTCTTGTGGAAAAGAAAAACCAGGTATTCTTTTGCAGGCTGCTCCTGCTTTCTGCCTGCCACCTGGCTTCCTGTAGGTATTGAGTCAAGAAAGGAAGGGCCTTGATTGACTTGGGAAACAGAACTCTATTGCAAAGACAAAGTGAAACTGACATAGCCCTTAGTGTAGATGGAGGGGCTTTGAGGCATGTAGTTTTTCTGGATGTATCTCAGGTACTGTAGGCAAAAACCCAGTATTAGGGCATTTAGGATGCCTTATCCTTTATTTTGCAGAGCTGGGCTGCTCTTAGATTTGTTTGCTACCTTCCAGTACGAAGCAGCTCATCTAGGCAGAGTTGCCCATCACATCAGCTCAGAGGTAGTACCTCCTTGTGTCTGGGCTCTGGTACAGGCAGGGTGGCAGAATTGTTTTTACGTAACATGCACATTGCAGGACTGCTTTCCTCAGAAAGTGGTAGAGTGGGATTGCGGGTAACTAAAGTTTCACAGATTGAGTCATTTCAATAATAAACACTCTTTACAAATGAAAAAGCAGTTCTTCCACTTAATTTAAGCAGTAACTGAAATGAAAGAAATAACTGTGTAGAAGCTATTAGCTAAAACAATTTTGCGCAGCCTCATTAATGAAGACAGGTAATGAAAATGGAAACATAGAGGCAGTGTAAAGATACAACCTAGCTTATGTGTCAATAGGGAAGAACAGAACAGGCATTCTTGTTCTTTTTTATACTAATGTGTTTGTCTAAGTTTTTGTTCTTGTCTCCAGTAATGGGGCCGATGAGTTTGAAAGGGATCCCCAACCCCAGAAGACTGTGTTAGAACCGTATAAGAACATGCTGCAGAACTGAAGGTTCAACAGCCCGGCTTGGGAAGGACAGATACAGGAGCTTCATGGACTTTGTCTCCTGAGAGGCATTGTTAACGGGACCTGGTTCCAGTAACTTGTAGTTTCTGTTTGTTGTTTCAGATTTTCTGGAGTGACAGTTGAGTGACATTTTAGCTCAACTGCAGTCAGTCATCTAGGCCTGGATCAAACATGTATGAATGGCGCCATCACCGAGTAGTTAAAATGCACCGAATGCTTCCTTATGTTGGGCATCGCTCTGAGCTCTTTTCCTGTATTATTCTACCACGCCTGCTCTTTACATTGGGTGCTCTTACTTTTCCTGTTTTTCAGATTTAAAAAAATCAAATCCCAGAGAAGCCAAACGATTTTCCTAAGGCATATAGCTTTCACCCAAGATTCACTCTTTGCCGTAACACGCATGTACCTTTAACTCTGTAGACAGCATAGATTGTAGTAGGATTTGGTCTCTGCAAGGTCCTGTGTTTATGCTTTCCGGCTCATGTGAATGATGGATCATGGCACACATCACTTTATGGCTTGTATCTAGAGTGGGGAGTGCTTATAGGTGGGGCTTTGGGAGGTGGCCGGATCTTGGGAGTGGGATGTTGGGATTAAGGGTATGTGTCCACTAATTGGCTTATCCCAGTTCCTGTGCGAGTGCCCACCCTGGGTTTGGGTGGCACTACCCGAAAGGCTTGTAACCTGGATGGGATAAAAGGGTGAAGGAGGCTTGCCGCTTTCTTGCCTTCTCTGCATGGGCTATTTCTCCGCTGCCATGCCACCTTGCTTCAGAATGTACCGCTTAAGCTGAAGGGAAGGAAGTCTTGCAGAATTTCTTAGTAATAAGCCCAAATTGGGTAGAATTTGAAGCCATGCTTCTACTAGGACCCGAAATTATTGTTGAAGAGATACATTCATCCCCATAATTGCAGCATTATTCATAATAGTCAAGATATGAAATCAACCTAAATATTCATCATTGGATGGGTGGATAAAGAAAAGGTGGCCTTTATATACATTGGGAAACTTGAGCTTTACAGAAAGAAGGAAAGGAATCTTTGATTCTTACCTTTATCAAAGAGAGGTACTTGATACTTTGAGAGTGCTTTGATACCTCCCTTGTGGTAGAGGCCTCACAGCTAGAGTAAAGTGATATTGGAAAGTTTCTCCCTTCTGTGCCCATCAGTTAGCTCATCAACAAGCTCAGTATCCCAAGAAATACAGTAGCAAGGGGCACTCCAACCAGTGTACAGCCATTGTACCCTAGAAAGAGCTGGGTTCTGAATCCCAGTGTTCTTTCACACGCTGATGTACTGGGCTCTCCCCCAGGTAGAAACCTTTTTAACTCTTCTGAAGGAAGCTTCCTCTTTTGGTTAGAACCAAGCCACCTTCCAGCTGCCCCTTCTTGTGGTCTTCCCTTCTTCTAGTTCCGCCAAGCTCTTCTGCCTGTCAGAGTTGTGGGTGCCTGCAGGTCTCCCCTCTAAGGGGGACTGAACATCGGTCAAGGCCTCACCAATCCCACCCCCATTACTTTATGGCAGTTTCCAGGTGAGAGGCTAATTAACAGCTGTTTATCTGCTGTAGTAGTACTGGAATTGTTCAACTGGTTTACTAAAGCAAGCACGAGGTTCCCCAAATTTACCTTGTTTCAATTTGTCTTCAAGGGGATAAACTCACTTTCTTATAGTTTCTTAACTGTCCTCTTCTATACCTATTTATTTGTGGTAGAGGTTGTGTTCCTTGGAATCTCTAGAATCAGATAATGCTTCCACAATTTTTAATGTCTTTTTAAATAAAAAATTGGTTATAAGGTTAGACTTGGGACTTACCATTTATTTTTACAAAACTGTAAGAAGTTAGTATTTGTACCTGCTTAATTAAATGAAATTAGGTCTTCAATTTTTCTAAATTTTGATCTCTTTTGTTTATTTGAACTATAAAATTCACGTGATGTTGAACCTTGAACCTACTTTGCGTTCACTGGTCTGTGTTTTAAATTAATAATATACATAGGAACTTCTTTTACATTCTGTCTGAAATTATGCTTAGAGTGGAAGCAAAAAGATTACTTTCTGTGGTGGTTTATTCATGTAGGTAGGCTCCTGTTTCTGATGCTTTCCCGATTTTATGAGAAATTTCTTAAATTGAAAGTATCATTGTGTCCTCACCACCTTAGAATGTTGGCCTTGTGAGCATGGCCTGGACCAAGGAACTCTTCAAAATGCTGAAAAAAGTTGAGTGTGGTGGTGAACGTCTGTAGTCCCAGCACTTGGGAGGCTGAGGCAAGAGGATTGCTGTGAGTTGAACCCAGCCTGGGCTGAGTTCAAGACCAGTCTGAACTCTGTAGCAAGACTCTGACCTAAAAAGCAAACAGACAGAAATACTGAAGAAATACTTTACTGTGCCTTACCGCATATTTCCCTTCAGTTTTACATTTGGAAGATATTCAGATGTGCAGAAAAGTTGAAATGGCCCAATGAATAGATTTTATCTTCTGTCACATTCACTACTTCTGTTTTCATTCAGAATAACTTAGTGAAAATAAATGCAGACATAAAAAGTTTCTTCAGCCTGAATCTTCTGAGGAAAGACAACCACAATACTATTGTCATAATTTAGAAAATTAACAGTAACTTCCTAATGTTATCTACTAAATAACCCATGATCTATGTTGAGATTTTCCCAGTTGTCCCTAAAATGTCTTTGTAGTTAAAAAAACAAAACAAAACCCAGAATCTAATCAAAGCTCATGAATTTGTTAGGTCTCTTTTGTCTGGTAAACCTGGAACTGGCCTTCCAGGATATATGATTGACTTTTTGGAGAATCTAGGACAGCTGTCTTGTAAGATGTCACGCAGTCAGAATTTGTCCAACTGTTTCTTTGGGCGGGGGTACTGGGAATTGAACTCAGAACCTGGTACCTGCCAGGCAGGCACACGCTACTGAGCTAAATCCTCGGCCCTCCTCATTTAAAAAACAAATAATTTATTTTGAAATATACATGCAAAAATGTGTTTAAATGATAAATACTTGGCTTCAGAAAGTTTACCCTCCGACCTCTGGGATTGTAAAGGTCTGGCTGTTTTACAGATCCTCACCTCTGTACTTGTTTCTCATTCCTTGGAGAATGTCATGTGCCCAATTTCCCTACAGATTGGGGGGGCCAAGGCAGGGCCAGAGCCAGTTTAGGTAGTTGCATTGTACTTACTCAAACTCCTCGCGGGACTTGCTTCAGTTAAAGAAGTCATTGTTCAGTTCCCCTTCTGAAAATGTTACATTATGAAGTTATTCTGCCTTTAAGAGATTTGGTTATTTTTATGTCATGTGAATGAATTTGCTAGTCGGAAAGTTAGTTTAAAACTTTTAGAAATCTAATTCAGCTATTAATACTGATTTAATCGCTAGATTGTAGAAGATACAACATAGGATTTTTAAGTTTGTCCCCACCTAGGTTTATGTTTTAGGGGTGTGGGTTTCAGAGACTCAGTATCAGTCCAGAGGTAGCTCACAGCCCTTATGCAAAAAGCCACCAAATATTAACAGTGCTATGACCAAGGCCAGCTGCATCTTCACTGTGCTCCGATTACCCTTGCCCTCATTGGTAGATGAGCTCTTTCCATGCCCGCCAAGTGGCCAGGACAAATGATGGTGTGAATTGGAGCCTTAACCTGGGGTCAGGGTCAGTGGGTCAGGACCCCTTCACTCTGCATGCGGAGTTCATGTGTATCTGGTCTTCTCCTTTGTTCTGGACAATGGTTTCTCTATCATCCACTAACTTGTCAGGGGAGTCCATGAGTCTAACAGTTAAAAACACTGCCTAACATACTTGCTTCTTCATAGAGCTTTTTTTTTTCCTTGTTGAGTTTATTGGTACTTTTTAGGTATACAGTACAGTTGCATTCATCATTGGGATCTTGTACCTCTACATGACAGGTCTTGGTTCTCATTTTTTCCCCTTGTCCCTGCCCTCCCTTCACCCCTCCTCCCTTCACCCCTCCTCCCTTTCCTATTTACAAATACTTTATTTCTATTTTCTCATATTTCTTAGAGCTTTTGATGTTTGGGAGTTTCCTTTTGGTAACCTTTTTATGTATTTATTTTGGATTAAAAATGATAAGAAAGTACATTCATAATTTTAGTCATTACTCAGAGATTTTACATGATGGTAAATATCTGACTACCTACACATATGCATGCACACTGTACAGTTTTTAAAAAATAAATTTTATATTTTCCCACCTCCCTTCAAGCCTGAGTCCTCCCCTCCCTATGTACAAAAGCTTTGTTTCCATTATTTCCTTCTATTTTCACTTTTTTTCTTGTCCATTCCTTTCTTTCTCCCTCCCTTCTCCCTTGTTCCCCTTCCCATTTGAGCATTTTCTTCCTGTTTCCCAGCATCTATTATACATTTTAGTCCTTATTTCCACTTTTGTTTCTCACACTAGAGAAATAATGTGGTATTTAAACGCGTGTGTCTGATTTATTTCACTTAAGAGTATGGTCTCAAGGTCCATCCATTTAGCTATAAATGTCTGAAGCTCTTCCTTCTTTGTGGCAGAGTCGTACTCCGTTGTGTAAAAACAACCCACATCTTTTTTATCTACTCGTTGATTGACAGGCATTTCCGCTGTTTCCCAGATTTAAATGCAGTTTTTTTTAAAGGAATCATTCTATATGAATTTTCTACTCTTTGTTGAATGTTAATCGACAACATTTAAAAAAAATTACTAGAGTATCCCATGGCATGGATATCCTGTAACTTATTTATTCACCCACTGATGGACATAGAGATTTGTATTTTAACAGGATACAAACCTTAGAAGCTAAGAATGGAGTAAGAGATAGGACCCTGTTGCTTTTGCTGGTCCCAAGAGCCCTCTTGTTTTGCTTTGCTCTACCAAGCTGCACATCAAAGGTTAAGCTCCAGGCTGTTTAGAGAACAAGTTTGCTTTTCTCCAAACAAAACACAGTAGTACTGCACTCTCATACTGACATCATGTGTACTGGGCTCTGGTTCTGCAAACGCCAAGGAATGAAGTCATACAAACCAATGGAAGAAGATAGGACTTCAGCTCAGTGGTGCCACCTCTCCTTTGCAGACACAAGGCTCTGAGTTCGATCTTCATTGCCAGAAAAAAAAAAAAAAAAAGAGTTTTATTGAAAATAAGGAGAAGGAGAGCTGCTCCTGGATTCCTAGGAGGGGCCCCTAATGGGGTGGCTGCATGGCCCCTCGACTTAGAACTAATTATAAACAGCACAAGAATTACTGAGTTGTTTTGAGGTCACCTTGTTTAGTGGTCACGTTTGGCTCTCTGGATTTAAAATGACCAGTTGGGACTTGGGCGTTTAACCCATTATTGAAAATAAGGAGAAGGAGAGCTGCTCCTGGATTCCTAGGAGGGGCCCCTAATGGGGTGGCTGCATGGCCCCTCGACTTAGAACTAATTATAAACAGCACAAGAATTACTGAGTTGTTTAGAGGTCACCTTGTTTAGTGGTCACGTTTGGCTCTCTGGATTTAAAATGACCAGTTGGGACTTGGGCGTTTAACCCAGTTCTTTGACTTGTAGGCTTTAAATGGAAACTGGGATCTTGGAAGGAACTGGTAAATTTGCATAATAATTTCCTTGAAATTACTAGGGAGTGTTTGCACGTGGTCCCTGTAGTAGGGGTGGGCTGCATCCCATGCTGCCTGAGGAAATTCACTCTTTGTTCAGAGACCTAGTTCACTCTCTGGTCTTGATTTTTAGTCTGTGTGGCTGGTCACTCCACTCTCTCAGGCCCACTAGCTTGTTGCCTTACTCATAACCTAAATAAATAAACTATTTTCTACAATACTATTCCTTCTAGAAACATCAAATAAGACATAATTTGCAAGTCCTTTGAAATAAATAATATAATAGTTCTGTTGGATCCATCCACTTCAAAGTGGCTTCATTAAAAACTATTCTGTTGGGCCGGGGATTTAGCTTAGCGGTTCCACTGCCTTCCTTGCAAATGCAAGGACCCGAGTTCAATCCCCAGTACCAAAAACAAAACAAAACAACATTCTGTTTTCAGTGTTCCAGTGGGCTTAATTTTGTATGGTTTACCTTACATTTAAAAAAAAGTGATTATGAAATTTTTTGTGAGGAAAAAAATCTAATTTTGTAATTGTTAAAGCACTTCACCCATGCAGCTAGGGAAAGTCTTTACCATTATAATTTATGTAATTTCCCTCAGTTTGTGTATGTGTGTGGTCTGTATTTTCCGATGATACACTGCTGAAAGAGATGTTGCTGATTGCCTTTTCTTCCTTTCCTCACTTATCTGCTTATGATACAGGACCAGATTGGAGGCCACACCCATCAACACCCTTGGGTCTGGGGGTGGTAACCCTTCCCATCTGGCTATGTGTGATTAATAGTGTTTATGTCATGGCATAAATCACATTTTGTTGTTCACTCAGCTGAGACTCGGGCCATTAGAAAAATTTACTCTGCAAAAAAAAATCAATAACCAGTGGTCTTTTGAAAGGAACAATTCTTTAACAGTTATTTCCCAAATCTGTCTATAAAGATAAATAGTCTAATTATTACTATACTCACTAAAACTGTGCAGACCAACAAGAAATACAACTCCACAAATAAAGGGTGACCTTAGCTAAGGACAGGTAGGAAGCCGTCTTGAGGCAGACAGGAGGCAACCAAAGAAACCCAATACCCTTTTAAGTCTTTAAGAATGTCACCCTTCCTCACAGATCCAGCCAACATAAAACCTCAGAAAGCATAAGATGAATTTCCAGAAAAGCATGGAATATGAATCGGATTGATAATGGCAGGCTGTGACTGACCTAATGCTGCTCACAACTCTCTATGGACTGCAGCTACAATGCAGAAAATCAATTTTACTTACTTATTTGCCTGAAGTTTGCCTAATGCCTCCTTGTTGGTAGCATAGCGCACAAAATCTAAATAAATTTGTTAGCCAAGGAAATAGAATTTATTGTGAAGGGCCAGGGATTTAGCTCAGTGGCACTGTGCCTGTCTCATAAGCTCAAGGTCCTGAGCTCAATCCCTGGTCCCGGAAAAAGAAAAAAAATTCTGTTGCAGGGAAAATTTCTTGTGAAATAAATAGGAAGTGTGTCGGGGGGAGGAGCCTAGAAGTAAAGATGCGTGTTTTGTACCTTACTTTGTGGGAAATAGTATGTGAACTTTTAAAATGGTATTCGCCACATGTTAGCTACATACACATGCTTGCATAATTGGTGGGGGGCGGGCAGTAGTCCTGACTCATTTATAGTTCATTTCACGTATGTTGGGTGAGTGCTTTGGAACGTTGCTCACACGGCCTGTTTGTGCTTTTGTGAACCCCTCAGTGTTTTTGCTTCCAATCAGAGCATGCCTCACTGATTTCTGCCTGCAGCCTGCTTCTTAGGAATTTGTAGCTGCAACTTACATTTCAGGAATTCAAGTTACACCAGTTTCACATCTTCACTCTCAGCCTTAGCAGAAAGGAATGGAAAGGTAAAAATTTGATCCTTTGTAACTGCTCACAGCCCAGATATTCAGCATCTTGGTTTCCTTAGCAAGCCAGCCCATGGCTCTTTAAATAAAGAGGGAAGGAATAAGGTCTTGTGCCTTCTTCTTCAAAGGAAGATGTAGTCCTTTCTTGCAAGATAGGATCCTGCTGGGTCAGGGAGGAGTAACCTTCGGGCGAAGTGCTGGATAAAGACAGCGGGTTTCACTTTTCACTCTGTAGAATGGGAGCTGGGACCCTTTCCTGTCACTGCCTGCATCATTCTCATTTACATTTTTGGCAGCTGTTCTGTTGCCTGAAGTTTAAATTATCTCAAGAACTCTACACGGAGTTCAGATGTTTGTTTATTGGCACTGCCTTGTGCTTTTGAAAACAGTCTTTTGTGCTCGCCCAGCCTTAAGGCTCTTCTCAGAATCAGCCCTTCCCCCTTCGTGTTTCTGTCTGGGAACCTGCCTCAGCCTCAGGAAGAAGACTGAATAGAGGACACGGGCTCACAACTGGTGAGGAGATGGGGCGGGGACTCAAAGCGGAAGGGAGTTGGGACCCGGCATCCTGCATTTGTGCTTTGTTTTGAAACTTGGAGTTAGTTGTGTTAATGAATTAACCAGCAGTCTAGGCATAGAAAATGTTTCTCCTGTCCTGGTGGGGGAGCCAAACACTCTAGATTGGTAACGGGGAGGCTGTTGATTCTGGCTTTATTGTTGGGTCAGTCATTTGTGAGCTGGTGGCCAGATAGCAGGCCACACACTTCTGTGCAAAGATCTTCATGTCTTGGAACTGCCTGAATATTGTTTCTACTATCGGAGACTTGGCCGAGGCCGAGAAAAGATGGTGAGCCTTGGGTTTCGTTTTATTTTTGTGTATATCTCCCAATCTCAGGGTGGCGCAGGATGCCAGACCGTTTGGAGGTGCTCAGCGGTGTGTGTGTGTGTGTGTGTGTGTGTGTGTGTGTGTGTGCCCGCGCGCGCGTGTAAATCTATGAGCATATGTGAGCATTCTGCTTGTAATGCTTTTTTCTGTGTCATCCTCTGTAGAGTTCCGGGAACGCATCCTATCGCTGCTCTATGTCTTCCTCTGCGGATTTTTCTGACGAAGATGATTTCAGCCAGAAATCTGGCTCAGCATCTCCAGCTCCTGGAGACACCTTACCCTGGAATTTACCTAAACATGAGCGATCCAAAAGAAACATTCAAGGGGGCTCTGTGCTGGACCCTGCTGAGAGGGCGGTGCTTAGGATAGCAGGTAAGCGGGAGTGGGGAAGGGCTGGAGTGAGGACTAGAGTTTCAGAATTTCCTGTCTGTTCCAGGGCCATATCTGGGAGCCATGCCCTAGGCGGAGATGTGTCCTCCAGGTGGGGGGAGCGTGACCATGTTTACTTTTGCCTCCTTATACCGCTGGAGCAATTTCCTTGCCTGCTGGTGACTAAGCTGTTTGGCTGTGCTATCTGATTGGATAAATCAATATATTTAAAATGTGAGGAAATATTTAGAGACACTATTTACATGCCTCAGCCACTGGAGAGTACTAACCCAGTGATTCCTCCTGTATTTGCTGGAAGCTTGGAGAAAGCAGGCTTTGTTTTCATTTTTGTCCAGAGGCACTGAGCTACACAGATCTACCTTGAGTAAATACATACTTTTTGGTTCACAGCATCACACTGCATAGTTCAGCAGCTTGGATGTCCTCTTTTTACAAAATGTACCATATCCATTGGCATTGTGTGTCCATAGCAGCTTTCAGTCCCTGGGCTTTTGAGGGTTTACCATCATACATTCCTGATTAATTAATACATGGGAGGGGCGAGTGCTTCTGTTCTGTTGCCTGTGTCCCTTTGCATTGGCTGTAAAAGCCTAACCAGAAGTGATGGCTTGTTTTACCCAGCTGAAAGCTGAGAGCACTGTGGAAATCAACCCTTTAACCCTGCAGTGCCAGTGTGGTTTATGTATGTGTGTTCTGTGCAGGAGAGCGCCCTTTCAGGGATGGTTGTTGCTCCACGCCTTCAATGGTACAGGGCAGGATGGAATAGGTCCACAGAGATTCTCTTGCAAAGGGTCAGAGATCAGTAGTTTTTTAGTTTGTTTCTGCAATCAGAGGTTTGGGCCTCCTCTCCTCTCCTGTCCCTACTCTTTTTCTGGAGGGCTCCTCAGTTTTTGTTTCCCACAATAATTTAGGGCTTTCTCTTCCTCCAAGGGGGCTGGAGGGCACCAGCTTAGATTACAGCCACCCAGGCTGCCTAGAGTCCCCCTAGAGTCCCCCTAGTGGGATTTTCTGATTTACGGGAAAACAAACAGAGCCCAGCCAGTCCTTCTCTAGTCTGGGTTTCTGGGGCAACAGCCGGGAGCCTCTTCTGGCTTCTGTTGTGAGATGCTGGCTGGCCTCTCCCGGCCTTTGAAGAGGAGGGGTGGAGCAGAAAAGAGGATAAGAAGGAGGGTCGTGGAGACTGCTTGGGAGCCCAGAGGCTGAGCAGATGTGGCCTTGGCCTGGCTCCTGCCCTCCTGGGGTACCAAAAGTGTCAAGTCACTCTGCCATCCCTCCTTGCCTGTTGGAAGGGAGAGGTGGCAACACTGTGCCTGTGCCCGATGCTGTGGCCAGGGGAAGAGAATGTAGTTCAGGGGAGGGTATGTGGGAGCTGAGGCCTGCGGCACACTACTTCAAAGAAGGATGCCGATTCTGTGCATTCTTTAATGGGAAGTGGATGTTCTGGTGGGTGTTTGTCAGGGGGGTGAGATTATAAAAATTGGGGAAGAAACCACCTGGCATGTGTGAGGAGAAGTTGGTGTTAAGCATCACAGTACGCTGTAGGTGGGAAAGACTGGAAGTCCTGGGGTCTAACAGGCTGCAGTGCACACGTGGTCAGAGACTGTTTACATGCAGAGGCCATGTGAAAATGTCTCCGGGGTTTGTGGGGTACCTGTGAAGTGGCCAAGACCTCAGAATTGTCTAAATCATCATCATGACTTGGGCTCCTGGGGATCGAACCCAGGGCTTTTGAGGTGTTGGGGATCAAACTCAGGACCTTGGGCTTGCAAGGCAGGTTTGGTGCCACTGAGCTACATCCCTGGCAGCCCTTTTATTTTTGGAGACAAAAATGTTACTAGTGGCTAAGTTGCCCAGGTTGGGCTTGAATTTATGATCTTCCTGCCTCTTTCTGCTGGGATCACAGACATGAGCTCTGTTCCTACTTTTAAACTGACAGTAAGTCTTCAAAAATAGAACCAAACAGAATGAACAACAGTGTGGAAGCATACTGTTTTAAACTGATGTTGGTAAAATTGTAAAAGATAATCATACATGGAGGATGACTTAGGAACTAGGCCACAGGTATAATTCATAATGTGGCTAAATTAGGAGATTCAGATGCGTTGTGAATGAAGTTGGCCACTGATCACTGAGTGCGCTGATAAGGCTGTATTTTGTCTGAGGGAATGTGGTGGTGCTATTGAAAATATATTGCTAATAATTCTCCTTCTCATCTCATATATTTTCACGCACTCCTTGAAACTCACTGTCTCTTTGACATTTATCTCTTGAAAGACCTGAAGTGACATTCAGGAAAAAAAAGGAGGAGGTTTAATGTTTTCATTTGTTTTTAACTTTGTTTTGTGTTTTGGTACTGGGGACCTAACTTGGGTCCTTGTGCTTGCGAGGCAGCACCACAGAGCTAAATTTCCAGCCCTCCATTTGTTTTTTAAGGCCATAAAAGTAGAATTGATTGTGAAAGTGTCAGCTGAGTCAAAAAGGCCATGTGGTCTGTGGACTACCTTAATTCACCCACATTTAACAGATACTTAGCTTCTGCAATAAAGTGAAGATGGCACAAAGTTCTGCCTTTAAAAAGTCATAGTTTACAATGATAAAGGAATATGTTGTCAGACAATTACAGCTTGGTTTGAGAGATTTGTAATGGCTGTAAGCATCTATCTCATTTTCATTTTTGGGGGTGGGGGGTACCGGGATCGAACTTGGGACCCTGTGCTTGTGAGGCAGGCAGCAGAACCACTGAGCTAAATCCCCAGCCTGGCATCTACCTTGTATTACAAGAACTCTTTAGAGTCTGATGCACTTGGAAGGAGAAGGCAGTTATGGGAGGTCCTGGAAGGTTTCTGAGAGGAAGAGTTACCTGGAATTTAAAGAGTATGATGGAATTAGGGAAGCAGAACACCCAGTACTTCAGAGGGTTGAACTCCATGGACAGATGTAGGATGACGCAGAAACCATAGGGGCCTGAGTGCAGTCCTGAGGCGTGACTTCTGAGAGTACGGACCTGGGGTTGGGGTGAGCTCTCTAATGCTGATTAACCCAGCCCTACCTTAGAGTTTTAAAAGAGCTTGTGCATTTATTGTAGTCTCATCCTGTTAACATCTGGATTATAGCATATTCACTTCCTATCTCTCAGGGCCAAGGTGAGAATATGGTGACATGACGTAAGGAAAGATGCTTTGTAACACTCGTTATATAAATGCTTTTTATATGAATAATATGGATCTCGTTTTACCTTCAGGAGATATATCTATATCCATATCTAGATATATCTATATATATATCTATAATCTTTTTTTTTAAAACCGGGAATTGAACTGGGGTTCCTACGCTTTTGAGGCAGGTGGTGGCACCACTGAACTAAATCCCTGGCCCACCTTCAGGATATTTTAAATTAGGTTCTTTACTCTTAAAATACCTATTAAGAGTACATGGCTTGTTAGGGGTAATGCTACTTTAAAGTCAGAATTTTTGAATTTAGAATTGAATGACCAAAGCAGAGTCACACTTTGTACTTAGGCAGTCTTACATTTCAGTTTCTCTTCTGCCACTAACTAGTTGTGTTTATTTGAACAAATTACAGAACTTTTTTCAACCCCAGTTTATCCAAGGTCTTTATTGTGGTGCTAAATAAGATAGTGAGTGTAAATGTTTTGCAGACTTTTTGGCACATGGAAAATACTTTCTATAAATGATAGCTTATGATGGTCAGCTGCTCTATTGAACATTTTTTTGTTTTCTCAGCCTGTCAAGAACCCTATAGGAACTGTGATTTTCTCAGTTTTTCAGTTCAGGACTCTGTAGAGAGAGGAGAAACATCCCAAGGTCATAGGGCTAGAATCTGAGTTCAGGCAGTTTTGACTCCAGAGACCAATGTCTTTCGTGCTATGCTTTTGCCGGTTCCCAGTGGAACACACCATTATTACTAACATATCGACCCAATATTTCCATTACAAGAGTGCTTGGGGCAAAAAGCTGTTTTATGGACAGCTTCTGTTCATTTCATGGGCTCTTTAAATGGACAGTAAAAATCAGTAGATGTACATTGCTATATTGGTCTCTGATGAAAACTCAAAAATACAGACCATATGACCATATTACCTCAAAATGACCATATCATGCTCTCAAAATTACTGTACTCATTGGGAAGAAGATAGTTTAGCGAGAACATTTTCTTTTTTGGTGTGGTCTGTAAATAGAGTAACTCTTGGGATCTAATTGCTAACCCTTTTATCTCAAGGTGTTCCATAGAAACCCGTTTTTTCATGAACCAGCGTGCACATGAAAATCTGCTGAGTTGCATTAATATTCACACAACAGCGATTTTAGAGGTTTGCTGGGAGGAGGGATCAAATTCAGGGGATAAACCAGTGGTCAGGAGAGAAACAGATGTGTTCTTGCTTTTTCTTGAGAAATCAAAGTAGCCCAGTTGGAGTTAAGTGCTATAAATGAAATACATTTTTTCAAAACCATACAGTTTTTTCAGGCGTTAACTCCATCCTCCACTAAGAATTAAGGGAACATGGTTCAGAATACACAAACAACAGCAAAATAGAAGGAAAAAAATCATCAAGGACAAAGTGTTGGTCCGTGTGAAAGTAGGGAAGGAAGATTCAGTCAAGAGGTGAAGTTGACATGGATCAGAATGGGCAACAACAAGCTGATTTATGCTAATAATTGTAATAATAATATTGTAATATAATAACAGTAAATGGTGCGTAGTGCGTGCCCATTTGTCCACACAGTCTTATGCATTAGACACTATTATCACCATCTGCATTGTCTCCATGAAGAAGACTGGTGGGAGAAGAAACTTGCCTTTGTCACTAGAAACCTGCTTGGGTTCCATCCAGGCAGCTGACCTGGGGTTACTTTTTTTTTTTTTTTTTTTTTTTTTTTGCTGTACTGGGGATTGAACTCAGGACCTTGCACTTGCGAGGCAGGCACGGGTTCCACTGAGCAGCATCCCTGGCCATGGGGTC